CGGCTCGCGATCTGCATGGGCCTGGCGCTCCAAGCGGGCCGGGATCGCGGCGCGGCCATTGCCATAGCCGGCGGGGCTGCCCAGCTCGAAGGTGTCAGGCACGTTGAGAAGGGGCTCGCCGCTGGGGGGGCAATAAATACGCGTGTGCACCATTCTGGCTCCCATGGAACTTGGCAACCTCATCGTCTTTCTTTCGCCGCGCGAATGCAAGCGCGCGGCCGCGTGCGCGCGGGCGCGCGCGCGCGCAAGCTCGTCGCGGCTCGCGCGCCAGGAATGAGCCAGATCCTGGGGGGCCCAGCCGCCTCCGCCCCCGGCGGCAAAACCCAGCCTGGGCGATTGGTGCATGCCATTTTCGGTTCATGCCGACGCTCGCCGTTTCCCGGGTGGAGCGCGCGTGCTCGAAAAATCTTCAGAACCCCGCCCAATGGGGGTTACCGATGGTATTTCGGCGGCCTCATCGAAGGACTGGGCCCCGCCGACGGGGGGGGGGCTCGACTGCCCCCCCCCGCGGCACCCGCCGCGCAACGACGACGACGATAGGGGGGGAGGAGAAGGAGGGGGGGGGGGGTTGTAGAAGGAAGAAATTGTTTTAGGACCAACCAATTTCACCCCCGACTGACAGGCGGGGGTCCAAATTAAAGACCTCCTGCGTTTGCGCCATTATGGCATTGGTGCGTGCACTTTCCGGCGCATGCGCATAGTCGCGTCCTGATGGGGCTGGGGGCATGCGCCGATGTTGCCCCCGGAATGTCATGGAATCGCTAGCGCGCTAGCGGGGGCGGTGCCAGCCAGGGCCCGCGGCGTCGGCTGGCCATCCCCCGAAGAAGGCCTGAGCCGTCGTCATCGGGGCAACGCCGATGCGGCTGCAGAGTAGATTGCCGCGAACGCCATCCTGCGATCCCCAGCGTTCAAGGCTACCGGCGGCCAGAAAATGCATTTACGCACATTTCGCGGCGATCCGACACCCGCCCCCGCGGGCGCGAGGGCTGCGAAGATGCAATCGCGCCTGCGCGGCTGGTCCTCGCAGGCCCGCGACGCCCCCTTGGCGCCCCACTTGACCTCCGCCCGCCACCGCGAGGCGAGCTCCTCCCAGGCATCACGCACGCACCTACTCGCGCACTTCCATGGCAGCTCCTCGCGCAGCTTCCCGAGCGCGCCCAGGGCCCCCGACTGCTCGCCGCAATGACCCCCCCACCCACCCCCACCCCCACCCCCGCCCCGCAAACTGGCCGCGTTGCCCAGGTGCCATTCCCAGCCTGCCTGGCCATGTCGGTCAGCCGCCTGGGTCGCGCCTCGATCTTCAGCCCCGCGGGCGGGGCGCAATCATCGAACCCCCCCTCGAGGCACGCGGCCCTGTCCGCCGCCCTCAAGGGCCAACTCGCCAAAGCGTTGGCTGACTTGCTTCCCCAGAGCCGACGGCCAGACCGGATGCGATCCGGAAGCTTGCCGGGGCAGGCCTGGCGCTTCGCCAGGCGGGGCAGAGCCTCCGCGAGCGGGCGCCCCGGGCCCGCCCGCGTTTGCTTCGCCAGCGGGCTGCGCGACCAGCTTCGCGAGCGGGCATTCACGAGCGGGCAGCGCGGCCCGCGCTCCCTGTCCGGCGGCCCCAAACGACGTCGGCGGCGGGGCGGGGCGACCAACCCCCGGTGGCCTGCCAGCGGGGCCGACATCGGCGCCAAGAGCCACGCGGCCCTGCTGCGGCCGCGGCCCGGCGGCCCACCCCCCTCCTCGCCGCGGCGAGGAGCGCCGCCGACCGCCCTCGGCCACCAGCGCCGAGGGACCCCGACGGGGGATCGGCTAGATGCGGCAGGGGGGGAGAGGAGCTCTGCCACGGGCTGCCTTGAGGCCGCCATGCAGCTCCCCCCGCGCCGCAGCCCGCAGCCTGGCTCGCTCCTCGGCGCTCGCTCGCGATCTCCTCCCCCCCCCTCAAACTCGACTTTTCGTCCATCTCCGTGTGACTTCCGCGCTCTGCCGGGAAGGCGGCCAAGGGCTTCCCGATGGCGGCGCGCGCGGAGCTTCTCCGCGACGTCAAGGCGGCGGCCGCCAGAGGAACAATTCTCCACGCAGAACTCGATGCCCAAGGCCGCAGGGCCCCCGCGCCTCCAGGCGTCGGCGGCCGCGCCGCTCGCCAAACAGCCCAGCTCCGCCAAGGAGATGTCCGCGCGCGGTTCCCAGAGTGGCGTTTCCGGGTGCGCCGCTGGGTCGCCGTCTTCGAACCCAGCCCCTGCGCGGGCCGCGGGGGTGTCCGCGGGCGCCGATTCTGATGCCATCCTCAAACAGTCGGCGGCGGGGCCCGATTCGGGCTCCGCTACGCCCGCCTTCGCCCCTCCTCGCTCCACCTCGCACGTCCTGGGCGCCCCTCAGGGGCCCCTCAGGGGCCCCGCGATCCCTCGGGGCGCGCCAGCCGCGGCCGCCACTCCGACGCCGTCGTGGCGCGGGCAAAGCAGAACCCCATCTCGTAGTGCCGGGCCCAAGTGCGCCCGCCCAACCCAGGCGCCCGTCGCACGACGCCCCGCTTCGCCCATTTCACGTTGCCACTCTGCGAGCAGAGGTTCGCTGCGCAAGAACCGCCGCGATGTCCGACATCCCCCCGTCCTCGCGCAGCAGCTGCGGTGCGTCGCGCTGGGCCCTGCCCTTGCATTTCTCCTTGCTCCTCCTTACTCAGCTGGTAGATACTGTCGCCCTCCTGGTTGAGGACGTCGGGGGCCACGCGCTTGCCATCGCCGGGCTCGGACTCCGACTTCAAAATCAGGTCCCTCAGCAGCTTCGCCGGGGGGTCCGACGCAGCTCCCCCGTGCCCCAGCTCCGACCGCCCGTGCGACCCAACGCGGTGGGGGGCGCCATGGCCTGAGCCTCCAACGTGGCGCCCGTTTCCTCTGTCACGCACATGCGCGGCGTAGTTACCGCCGTCTGCGCAGGGAGCTTCGCGGCTCAAATGCTGTCCCCCCCCCAGCAGCGTCCTCAACCTCTTACGCGTAAACCCGAGAATCGAGGTGCCGCTTGGGCTTCATCCCAAAGTTGACGGCGGGTCGCTCCAAGCAGGCTGCCGCATCGCCATCCTTCATGATTAGGTGGCGGCCCTTTCCTCTCGCGTCCCTGGCCCGCAGATGTGCTTACAAGGCATCGTCAACGGGGGCAGAGGAGCTGGAGAAGAGGGGAAGGATGAATGGAATAAGACGAGAAACAAGGGGAGGATGGATGAAAGAGGAGATGGGAGGAGGGATGAAGGAGGATGTGCATCGACAAGCCGGCACACATACGCAAAGCTGGTTCGGATTGCTGTTGGATGCGGCGGGTTGGCTGGCTTGGACTGGCCAGGACTGCGTTGACATGAACGTGATCAGGCTGGACGGGGCTGAGATTCGCTGCATTCTTGAACTAGGCTCTACTGAACGGGGCAGTATGGACTCAGCTTGGCAAGTCTCTCGCGCTTGCTTTGTAAGTTGATTCGCCCCCGGCCTGCTCATCGCTGTCTTTTGTGCTTGATCGCTTGCATGGGAGCACACGTGCATGCTTGCTTGGTTGACTACTCTCGCTTGCGCTGACATGGGTTTATCCTTCCTCGTTCGCTCGCTTCCAGGACTGTCGGTGCTTGCTTGATTGCGTGCAATTAGTGGCTCGATTTCGCGACTGTGCTTGAGTTCTTGTTCGTTTGGCAGTGCTTAGGTGCACACGTGCGTTCGATTACTTGCTCGCTTGAGGTTACTCCGCTTGCTTGTGCATGCCTGCATGCTTGCAAACGCGAGCGTTTGCAAGTGCTTGCTTGTTTGCGCGCTTGCCATTTAATGGCTTGTTAAGTGCGCGCGCTCGCTTGCACTCGTTTGTGCTAGCTCGCGACTGCGTGTGGGCGCCTGCCTTGATCACGCCTGAAAGCGCTAGCGAGCCTACTCGCTAGCAAAAGCACGCCCGCTGGCTCGCGTGCACCTGCTTGCTCGCTTGCGCGAGCTTGCATGCTTGACCGCGGTGTTTTGCTTATCAGCTTGCCTACCCACTTGCTTGTCCGATCTTACTTGTGCTTACTTGCTGGTCTACTCCCTTGGCTACTTGCAGCTGTCCGCTTGTACAACCTGAACGCACGTGAAGTTGGCTTGGCAAAATGTGCATCCACGCGCATGTAAATGTGTGCGCATCGTAGACTGACTGCGCACGCCTGAAGTCGTCGTATGCGTGGCGCGCGTGACTGCTTGCACGCAGACACTCGCATCATTACACTTGCATGCGATTGCTTGCGCTTGCGAACCTGCGTGCAATCGCACGCTTGCTTCACTGCGCTGGATTGAGCGCGCCGGCTTTCCGTTTGCAGCATTGACTCTGGAACGTGAAGACGAGTTTGCGTGTCCTTGCACGCGCATTTGCTTGCTTGCGCTTGCTTGGAACTATGATAAAAATGTCATTATGTGTGCCAGCTCGAGCGCGAGCTACGAAACCCATGAAGCAAACTTCTAACGTTGACGCTAACACGTTTGAAGCTCCAGCGGCCGCAAGCAACAACTACATTCCAACCCACCTGTGGGCCCGAGTGACACTACATGCTACGTCTAGTTCTGTCTATCACGATGCATGGGACATACATGGGCACGAGACATGCCATGTAACAGTCACGCAACAGCTGAGTCATTCACCTACTATCTATAAGTAAATATCGCCTGATTCGATGCACGCTGATGCTGCTTCTGATGGGGATGCCGCCGCAGATGAAAACTCTGCGTGCTGGCGAAAACCACACTCATAAACATATGCACGAGTACCGGATTTCAAACGATATTTGAACTGACGCCACAACTGAATGGAGCATGCGGCTGACAACTCACTGAACATGAAACAAATACTTAGACCAACCTGGATTCGGAAGCAGAAGCTGAGAAAAGCACATGTCGTGATCTCTCCCCTCTCACGCCCTCCCCCCCTCGCCTCCCCCGCTTCTCTCCATTCGGTCTCACCGCTCATTCCCTTCTCCTTCAACCGCCCCTCCTCGTGCCTCCATGCCCCCATCCAGGACGGTCCTGGCATCGCGCCAGCATCTCCGCAGCGGAGCTGGCGGCGAGGCCCTTGCGGGCGCGCTTGCTGGAAGCCTGCGACGAGGAGGGGCTCGCACGCGATTCGGGCCTCAAACCTGCAGGCCCGTTCTTGAAATCTTGGCCGGTCCCTCCACCGTCGGCGCCACAATCTTCGCCACCTCCTGGCCCAAGCTGCTCTTGCCTCCCTCCTCTCGCGGTGCGCACTTGGGCCTTCTGGCTTCGATGCCGTGGCGGACGTGAGAGTCGGGTTAACACGGTGCGATCGACCTCTCAGATGGCCTCCCGCAAGCCTTGGGCGTCTTCGCTGGCGATTAAACAACAGAAAAAAGGTACGGCGTCGTAGGATGATCCTCCGTTCCTTCCTGCCATTCTTTGCTTTCCTGCCGTTCCTCCTCCCCTCTTCCTGCTCATCATTTCCCTCCCCGCTCATTCTCAAGATCTTCTTTCTCATATTCGATTCCCTCCTCATCCGCGTCCATTCCTGCATATCCCCCATTCTTCTCCCTCTCCACTCATAACCCAATAGCAACCCTGATGAGGGCACCTGGTTTGGTCCGAAGTATAGTGTCCAGCTTTCTTCTCCTTCTCCTTACCTTTCTCCTTGTCTTCCCCTCCTCTTTTTCCTCCTCTCCCTCGCCCCGCTCCATAGGGAGCTCCACCGAGGGGCCTCAATGGCAGGATCTGCGTGACACCGCCGCGCCCATTTCGGCACACCCCTGAAACTCTTCGTGATCCCGTAGAAAGGCTCCGCCGAGGGGGGTCCACGTGGCGCCGCAGCGCCCACATTGGCACATTCCACACACGTCGCGTGGCCCTATAGCGGCAAAGGGTCATCGAACGACCTGGCGAATCTAGCTGAGCAGCTAAGGAGGGCCACTGGGGATGTTTCGGGGATGTTCTGGTACTCTGGGGAGAAGTGTGCGTTTGTAGATTTTCGCTTGATTTGTCACTGCAAGCAGAAGTGGCCGCGTAGACTGTTTAGGCTTCTGGGCGCATGCATGCGGCTATCAATATCTAAATGCGTCACTGGATAATTAGCAGATTGTTAGGGGCGGTGCATCAAGTAACGATCCGCAAGAGCGCATCCTCGGCGTTTCTTCGGGCCTCTTAGGGTTTATTGGAGTTCCCTTGGAAACGTTGATGGCTCTCCGGGCAGCCTTCGGATTGTCGCGGGGAACGTTGCAATTTCTGTGCTACGGTCGTTGGCTATCCTGGGGCCGCGCTGGAGCCGAAGAGGGCGCTGCATGCAAAATCAGGGGTGCTCGCTTTCTCAGAGCGGTTGCCATGACGAAGGGAATGGCCCATACAAACATAGGCCTGCACCAAGCAACGCGTAAACATTATAACGCTCCTCCAGCGTGCCGCTCGCACAGTGGTAGATCTAGACGCGTTGCTAAGTCTGGTGCCACTACTTGTCTTCTGTTTCCACTTTCCACTTGGCTTGATTGAGCAAGGTTTCCAACGAGGCCGTACGAGGGACAAAAACAATATAAACGCATAAGTTCGCGAAATCTGGCCGTCTCGATTCCAGGGTCGTTTGGCTCCGGAGCGCATCGCGAATAATCTAGACGCGCGCACAAGACGCCCCAAGACATTCCAAGACGACTCTAAGACGGCCCAAGAACTCCGAAAGTCAGCCCAACATCACCACAAAAAGGCTTCAACGTGGCCCGAAGACCCACTCAGACAGCCTCAAGATAGCCCAAGTGAGCCTTTCTGAGAGGGCTCCGTAGAACCATGACTCCACAGACGACCCCGAGATACTGGGAGGACCACGACAGAAGCACAAAAGGCCCTGAGGGGCTTCCAGAGGTCCCAAAGAAGCCGCAAAATAGCCTCAACAATGCCGGCAAGGGGGAGGAGGAACGAAAAGGAAGAGAGAGGGAGGCCGAGGAGGGGGACAAAGGACGGGGAGGACGAGTCTGACGAGAGAAGAGAGCCGAACTGGATCTCATTTTCAAGTGCACATCCCTCCTGCTGCGCTGTTGCTCTGGCACGGCGATCGGACTGGCCGCAAAGCCACAAACGAAAACAGCCAACAACATCATAGCACCCCGCCTACACCTTCGACCCTCGCTCAAACGCCCGCCAACCCGGAGCGCGAATCCGCCCGGGGATGTTACGTGAGCGTTCCGGGGATGTTTCGGAGATGTTTCGGGGATGTTTTGGAGATGCTTCGAGGATGTTTCGGGGATGTTTCGGGGATGTCGGGGGTGTTTCGGGGATGCTTCGGGGATGTCTGGGGGACTTTGCGCCCCCGGGGCTCGAGCGGGGAAGTTTCGGGGATGTTTTTGGGCCGCCTCGAGGGACCTCGTTTCCGCGCCCTCGCGCTGTGCGCCGTGATGAGGCTGCCTCGCGCTCATTCGTCGTCGCTTGCAGTACATGCTATCCAGCTCACGTTTGATCGCAGGCGAACGAAACCTGAACTGAATTTATCACATGCCTGGATGCACCAAGCATCCTCTGAAAACGAGCGAACGTCGACGCGAGGAGGATCTGGGGGCGAACGAGTGTTCACGCGCCGTTTTCGGGAGTGCGGATGTAAAGAACCAAGGTCCAAAACCGCGGCTCATCTCTCATTGTGCCTGCTATTCCCCTCCAGTCCCTCCATCTTCCCACTTCCCCGCCCTCCAACCCCGCTATCCCTTACTACTTGGACCCATATCTTACAGTTTTGGTTGTAGATCACGCTCTGGTTCGGATGAGTCTGGCACTTTTCAACTCGATCACGCGAGCCCCTCCCCCATGCTGGCGCGTCGGCGCAACGACACCGACAGCCGATAACGAACATGATTGTTGGCGCGGTTAGTTGCCGATGCGGGGAAAATGGCGCCGCCGGCAGCGGAGTCTGTCGTGGGCCGAATGCGAAGGCATCTGGTTCGGAAGCCCGACGAGGTGACCCTTGCTGCAGCGGGAAGTGCCCGCTCTGGGGTCGCGCTGTCCAACGATAGCGCGCCCTTGTCGTCGCGCGATCCAAAGGGGGGCTTCCTGCGACAAGTCGAGGCGACGAGGCGCAGGAAAGCAGTTGCATTCGGCAGGCTGGCGGGCTTCACCGCTGAAGCGTTCGTCCGCGACGGCGCGCCTTTCAGCATTGACTGCAACGATCGCCGCGGACAGCACTGCCGCTTGCTCGAACGGCGTCGCGACACGCGTGCTTTCGCCAACGGCGCCTCAAACAGCAATGCGCGCCCACGCGGTCGCACCGAAACGTGGCGCTTCATGACAACGCCACCTTGCCCCGTTTTGCCATGTCGTGCCGGCCAGAGGGCCGGCGATCCAAACACGGCCGACGTCGCACGTCGGCCCCGCAATCGCGGTGGCTGGGCGCTGGCAGAGAGTGCGACTCGCAACTTCGCGAACAAATCAATCCCGAGCACCCAGCTGAATCGTTGCGAATAGCGCTGGGCGGCCCAAAGTTTCACCGCGCCCAAGTCGAGCCCGCTCGATGTCCCAAACATTCGCCCTTGTGGGCGGAGCCCCCGTACGTGGACCGGCGCTGCGCTGACTCCATGACGGCCGTTTTTACCGTCCTAAAGAACGCTCCAAGACCAGCAAGGCCCTCTGTGGCAGACTCGAACCAGGAGCCTTGCTTGAGAACGAAAAACGATGCACAGGTGATTGCAAATCAGCTTGCGCGACCTATTTGGTTTCGAGCGGCTGCTGGTACAACGGGTCGCTGTGGAACGCGAAGTGTGTTTGGCAGTGCGTGTGTCGAAGTGTTTGTTCTTAGTTGCGTGGAGAGTGCGGGCATGTGCATTCTTTAAAGGGCGTTCACATCATTTGCGTTATTCACATGTTATTCCTTGTCCTCGTTCACTGCCACCTCTTCCTAGTTTGTCTGGCGCAGTCCTGATGCTCTGTCTGCGCTCTCCACCATCTCGCTATTACTGTTCATCGTCTTCCTCCAGAATGCTTACTCATGTGCGTGAATGTCCCCCAGCGCGCCTCCGGGGCCCTCGGAGCCTCAAATCAACCCTGTACCGCAGGGGCCCACCACTCCCAGGAACTTGATGGCTCCCTTTTGCGATGGGAGCGGGTCGCCAAGAAGGGGGGGTGGCCCGGGCGCGCGCGGCGCGGATCCCGGGCCGCTGGGCGCTGCTTGCGTCGAGGCCCGCCTCCGCACCTCGCGCCGCTCGCTCAGTCTCTCAGGCGCCGCCGCCCTTTCTGACCGCGCCTCGCCCGTCCGCGAGGGGGCGCAGGCGCGGTCGCGAAGCGCCGCGCGCCCCCCATTGGGCCCTCCGCGGTCGGGGGCCCCCGCCCAGCCCTGGATTCCGCCGCCGTCGCGGCGGAGAGAGGGGGGTCCAGAGGCAAGAGGAGGGCCCCCCCCATCCGCGGCGTCGCCCGCCCTTGGGTCGGGGTTCAAGACAGCCCCGCAAGCGCGACAGAGGTCCCCGCGCGGGGCCGTGCGAGCCGCAGCACGCGCCTCCCGCGCCGCCCGCGCGGCGCAGTCCGAGACGTGCCCGGCGGGGCTGCCGTCGCAGCGCAAGGCGCGCGCGCCCGCGACCACCCCGCAGCGCCCAGCCGCGGATGCCCTGCCCGCGGCGGCCGCCCTCTCCTCGACGATCGACTCGTGGATTTCCTAGAGGGCCTGCATCACCTCGTCGAGCGCGCCGGGTCAGGTCCGCGACCGCCGCGTTGATCCTGAGGGGCATGTTGAAGCCCGTTGATATCGCGTTGCTGAGGTCGATTGCCTCCTGGCTCTCATCGCGCAGTAGTCGGTCCATGCTAGGCGCCATCTTGCGCGACCGCAGCAGGTCCAAGAGCTCGACGAGGAAGAACGTCCACGACCAACTGGTCGACATGCCCCCGTTCACCGCGTAACTGGGCGTTCTCGAAATTACCCGTCGGCCCCGTCGTCTCGAGTTTCGCATTTTGGCAGGGCTCCCCGAGCCTCGCGAACGACTTCGCGCAAGGGGTCGTGTCGCGGAGGTCTGGCGCCATGACCCCGTTCGGGTCGCGGGCCTTGCCCCGCGTCCAAGGGGGCGATTATTTCTCTACTTCCGGCGCGTGCCGATGAGCTCCTTGCGCGCTGAAGTCGGGCGGCGCTTCGCAAT